ATGTCCTCTAGGGGACGTGGACGTAAAGGGACGTAAATTTTATATGCTAAATACTTTAGGGACCCATCTTTACTTGGGAATGCTATCTACCTTGTGCCATTTTCCTGACCTCAAGTGTAATAGTAAAGTTTTTCACAATAACAGTTAGAAGTTTGATAGTATAATATAAGCAAGGTCACTGAAATCTTAAATCTGTACCCTAAAATTCTTGCTAATCATTATAATAATAATACTGTAATGGTGTAATAACAAGTCTGTCACTTACTCTAACAGAGACTCGTATAACCATTATCAGGTAAGTAAATAAAAGGGTGATTTGAGGCATATTTTATTTGACTGAGTCTTTATTAATTTTCTTCTCTAATTGTTTTCTTACTCTCTATCTTTTATATGTCATTTATACTTTTTTTTCTTTATATTTGACTATAACAGCTTAGCCATAAAATAATAGACACTAATACAATAGTATGGCTAAAGCTAAATAACATAATTTTTTTTCATATTCCTTCCTATTTCTTCCTGATTACCTAATTATTATAGCTGTCTTGTTATTAACATGACAATCGGTCATATGACGAACATCATGTTTCATTTTTACCTATTACATTTCCCACACTTATTATATGTGTACCATGTATTTTTCTTTTCTCTTTATATGATCAGTTTCTCTCGTAATATTTCTTTAGGTTCTGGGCATTGATCAGGGATGCAAGCACCTTGTTATCTATTGTGTGCAACTGGTATACATAATCGGATAGTCGATCATATATATAAAATGGTTCTCGCCACTTAGGATTAAATTTGTTGCTTCTTGAATACTGTAGGACGGCTCTGTACATGAGGACTTGTCTCCTATGCTGTATTCTCGAGATAAGATAATCATTAATATCATTTTTGTCTTTTATTTTTTTTATAAAGGGATGGGGATTTCATCACAACATGATTCATGTTTTTTGTTTTATAGGATATCGTGAATACTTCTATCAGAAGCAGATGACATCCATTATATTAGGGAAACTGATTGCGTTGAATGAGCTGGCATTGGTATATACAAAAGATTAGGATTACTAGGATAATATACATGCCTTCATTTACCAAAGTAATTTTTTTTTTTCAACAAAACTCTTATTTTGCTTCTTCGATATGAATGAAGTTAAGGCCCATAGACATTTAATAAAACTTTAAATCTGTTCATGATTTCTCGTGCGGGAAGAATATACAATCATAATCATGATCGTGATCATGATTATGGCAACATTGAGATGTCACATCTGAGGTCATGTATAAACTTGAATCTGGTGCCTGTGATTGATTTTGTTGTGAGGGCTTATCAGAGTATTTAGATATTTCTTGCTGTTCTGAATATATATGCATGTATATATATTCTAGGCATGTATTATCCGACTTCATAGGATAAACTTTCATGATCGTGATCGTGATCAGGATCATGATGGCATTTCGACATTTCCAGTTATCAGTTTTGATGTAATTCGATAAGTTGCAGCATTTTCTTTCTTTTGTAACATTCTACTATTGGCTTTTAACTTTTTCTTATCAGTCTTTTCCTAGTCCCATGCTTCATGTTCGATTTGTCATTTGCAGGTTCTCCTTGACCCTCGGCAATATCTATTATTCCTGGCATGAGTTACTGAAGTCTCGTCAGTAAGTTTGATTCTCTGCCATTGGTTTTTCCGCCATTCTTTCTTTTTACTGGATGGTCCTTCTTCCTTTTAGGAACTTGTCCCTTGCTTCTTTCAGCATCATGACTTTCGTGATCATTGGTACCTGGCATGATCTTTGGAACCAGCAACTTGTTAAGAGGTAAATGTTATTTTTTCTTTCTTTTCTTTTTATGCATAGTTGCATTTCTTTATCAAAGTTGTATTCAAGTTTCCTAACCAGTGCTTTGATGAAATTACCAACCACATGAATGTGTACTGAAATATAATCTTTTTCGGGAGTGGAAATCATGGTAAACGGATGCCATTTCTAGTATGAAACTTTGGGGCAGCACAAAAAAGTATAGTGTTCTGTCTTCGTTTTGATATATTACTTAAAAAAGGAAATGATTAATACTAATTTGTTATTTTCTTTCTATACGTTGGAGATGCGTCAAATTTCTCATGATCATATGGCATACTATCCATATCCTCAGGGCCTTTTCTTGTTCTTGTTTCTTCTTTGGACAGGGGCAACAAATTCCCATTGTTACGGTGTCATTAATTCATTATTTTATTATTATTATTATTATTATTATTTTATTATTTTTTTTTTGTTAATTTTTTTCTTAGGGCAAGGCACATATATCATCAATTTTGTGATTATCAGTTTTTAGGCTTCATTTTTCTTCTGTGCGAGCCATTTCGGAGCTTCCCTAATTGGTTTGGAATTTCTTTTAGGTCAGGACAATGCTTCTTCCTTTATTTGACATATATCAGCAGCCAAATCCTTCATAGGCATTGTCATTGGAGCAGGGTTGATTATTGCTTCTTGGATCGTCACTTTCATCGCTCCTTGCTATCTTGTCATTAACGTGACAATCAGTCACGTGATGGACGTCATGTTCTATTTTTACCTATTACCTATTCTTTTGATTATTTATTTTATCATTCATACCTTTTACTCTTCAATAATAAGTAAATACATAAATAAAATATATAAAGAAAAACAAATTTATCGATTTATTTTATATATAGTAAAACTAGCTTTATTATATTCCAAAAAACAGTTGAGCATTATTCTATTAGTTTCACTAGTTCAATAGACAGTTATGATTTCAGTCATTATGAAAAGAAAAACCAATTGCTTATTAACCTTGAAAATTATGATTTCAATAACTATAAAAATAACGAGCTAGTACAAAATACCATTTAAGACTTAAACAAGTTCTTTACTACTGTTAAATGTCAATGCTCTAGTAATAATAAGAAAAATAAAAAATGTTTTGAGGTCGTGGGATTTAAACGGTTCTTTGAATGTCATCTCCAATTTCAAACTTTGGGTAGAGAAGAATTAGATGTGGTATTAATGGGACAAATATTGATATTTTAATGTAATGGAAATATAAAAATGAATAGATATCATTTATATGATTTTTTTAGATAGCAATTTAATAAACAAATTGCTTTCTGTATAATAGTCTATCTAAAACTGATAAAGGTTAGTAGAAATAAACTTGATGTGATCAAATGACAACTAGAGGAATATGGACTAACAATAAGAGTATATGGTAACACCTAACGTTTGGCTCAGCGATCAAGCAAAGTAACCATTACTTATGATAATGCTAAAGAAGTTTTATCTTTTATCCTTAATTATGCTGATATTAATGGGCTTCAAAGACCTGGTAGCCATTTAGAAAGGAATGATTAGGCATTGATTTATTTGCCTATGGATGAAAACTATACTTCCATTTTTCATAAATATAAACAAGCTATGAAATCAATGAATAGAAATAATGATCAAATCAGTTGGTCCTCTTTTGTTTGTTTGTGAAAATTACCCATTCCTTATATTAAGTTTATGACTCCCAAGTCAGATTTATACAATGTTTGCAAAACATTAAGATGAAAAATTGGTCATATCAACAAACCTGAAGATAAAGAAGAGTTACTAGTTGAATATGCTAGTTATATAAGAATTGCTAAACTCGAACATGAATATTACAATGATAATATTAAAAAAGCAAAAGAAAATGCTTCCTATATTATTAATATTTATTCATCACTTGCTAGTAAAGAAAGATCTATCCCAAATACTATTGATAGTAAGAGTTTTATAATATCTTTTCAAGCCATTTTGAGAAAAGTATATAACTCTATCAAATTTCTAAAATATAAATAATGCTAGCTATTGCTCATTTTTGTTATGATTGGATACAAAGTGTTCCAGTACTATATTCTCCACAACAAATTGGTCCTTTGTACTTTAAGAGTATGCACTTAGTCAGTATTTTTGAAATTAATGACACTGGTAATCAGCCTCAATCTCATCAAATAAATTATCTTATAGATGAAGGAAAGTTTCCTATAGAAGTAGCAAAGGGTGCAAATACAACTTTAAGTTTGGTTTATGATACACTTATTGAATATAACAGAAATGAGAAGAACATCAAGATTACTTGTGATAACTGTGGAGGATAAAATAAGAATAATGCTACTATTAGTAATATTAGCATGTATAAGACCGTTCATATATATGGCTAGAATTAAGTTCAATAAAAACCATTAGATATCGATTGCCTTCTTCACCATAAAAAAAAAAAAAAAAGAATAATGCTACTATTGCTTTCTACTGTTGATTGGTACTAATTGATATGTTTGACACTATTGAACTTAATTTCATAATATCCGGGCACACAAAATTTATTTGTGATAGATATTTTGGACTTTTAAAAGCTTATTACAAAAAGTCAGTAATAAATATTATTGATGACATTGCTAAAGTAACTAGAACATCTGCCCATGGCAATAATGCAATCTGTTATAAAGATCATAAGTGGAAATATTTTGATTTTGTCAATTATTTTACTCCTTATTTTAAAAAAGTCCCAACATTAGATGTTACCATTATTTCTTGCTTAAGTCCACTGAACATGGCAAAGTTTTCTGTCAGGAAACTGCTAATGGAGAATTTATAATTATCGATTTATTTAAAAAAAATATTATATTTGATCCTTATATATTACCAAAAACTCTAGATTTACAACCTATTTTACTTATAAGACAGACATATCTTTTTAACGAAGTAAGAAGGTTTGTTAATGATTCTTATAAGAATATAACTTGCTCCAGATCACCAAGTAGTTAAATAAAGTTTATTGCATTACTATTGATTGTTTAAATTTTGGGGTGATATATGATTTCATAAAAATGGTTCAATTTCCTTGAAGCCAATTTTCTAATAATATTTATTTTTGCAAATGCATCATTTTCATAGATTAGTCATTATATGTTTTAAAACATTTTAAAAACGTGTCAAAAAAAAAAAAAGATCAACAAATAAATCACTTTTTAGATTTTAGATTTTTTTTTCTTAACTATTTTCTTTCCACTATTAGATTTATATTTTTCTATATATTACTTATTAAATAATAATATTTTTTACAATAAGTTAAAATTCTTTAAGTTGTTGTTATTTTGTATTAATAAGGAATTACTGTTATTATTTGTTATTGAGTTTGCTTTAGTAAGTTTATATATATATGGAGCCTAATCATCATTATCTATTGAGAAATAATGGTTCAATACTTTATAATAAGAGTAATTATTTATTCTATAGAATAATACAATACAAAAAATTTTAACTTATTATAAAAAAGTATTAATATTTTTATTATATGGAAAGTTAATTTTAATAAAACAAAATTTTTTATTATTTGAAAGTACTTATTTTTAAAAATAAAAAAATCATTTGAATGTTTATTTTTGGAAATAAGTTAATTATAGGATTTAATCATATGATTTAATAATCATTTTAATAAATAAATAATTTTTTTTTTATTATTTAGAAATTAATTTCTGATTTTAAAATTTATAAAATTAAAAATACTTTTAAAAATTAAAAAATATTTATATTATTATTGTTTAATCTTCAATATTATTTTATATTTATTATATAATATATCAATTATATAATTCTTATATTTAATACTTGTTAAAAATTAAAAATATATATAATATATCAATAATATAAATTTGATCAATACTAATGTTTTAAACACATTATTGCATGAATTGTATCAGTAGCAAGACAAGTTCTATTTTAAGTAATTAAATCACTTGCATTTGAAAAAATTCTTTCAGCAGGTACACTTATTGCTAGAATTGCTAAATAATTTTTTGCCATTTTACTTAAATTCAGATATTCATCCGAATATCGCTATAATAAAAATTATTAATACAATATTTAATATATAAAAAATACAATAAATAAAATAGTTTACCTTTTACCAATTTAATGGATCAGTAAGTGCTGAAGCTTATTTAGCTTTTAAAAATATTTTAATTTCATTTGTAATAAAATTTGATCATTTAGAAATATATGATATTAAATTTTCATTCTCAGAATTATAATTTATTACTATATTTTTAATTTCTTTAGGTGTATATTTTTTATAATAAATTTTTAATACCTATAAAATAAATAATTTAAATAAATAAATTTCTAAATTACTATATATATAAAAATATTATATATATTTTTGTTTTTGTATCATTAATCTATTCTTTTTCCTATTCATGATCTTTCATATTTTGTAATTTAAGTTGTGAATCTAAAACTAATATAGATTTTAATTAAATAAATACAATAAATATTTATTTAATTACAAAAAAAAAATTAATATTTAATATACCTGTAGTAACTGTATATACCGATGTTTCTGTTTTACTATAATATTTTTTTAATTTTTTAATTTCATTTTTTACTGATTTCTATAATATAATAATAAATATAAATATAAATTAATTAATTAATTCAAATTAAAAATTAAAAAAAAAATTACTTTATTTTCTTCTAAATGT